AGTAGAAAATATCATTCTGGGATTACTTGTTATGTCCTGGGCCGGCAGACACAGGCTGCAGCGATTGGCCCAGGCAGACCATGTGGATGCCCGGGACAAGAAAGGCTGCTCCCAGCCTTCCATGCACACGCACAGCGGGAAAAGATCCTTTGCAATGATTGGCCAGCAAGATATTGTGCAGGGGGGCTATAAAAGGGGGCCGCACCATTTTAAAATCTGTTCTGTTGGTGTTTGCAATAAAGGAGAGCTGTTGGAACTCGTTGCTTCGTCTCAATGCCTCTTTTCCTGAAACAGAACATTACTAATAATGAACAATCAGAGTTAGGAGACTTTGCCAAACTTCCTCAACTCATCCAAAAATCTAGAGTAGTTTCCAAATATTTTAGTTGGCAGCAAAAAACAAAACAAACAAACAAACAAAAAATCCTTGAGTTTTCTGTATCTCATGCTGATGTCCAGTCATAGAAATGAGAGACATTCTGAACAAACAGCAGTTCGCTGGTTCTAAGTACTTCATTTGTATTCTCCCTTTGGGTAAAGAAAAGTCCAACATTATATTTTTACACATATATTTTATGGTGCAGTCATTGTACTAGTTCTATGCGGAGGCCAATAAGAACTATAAAGAGATGGTTTTCTTGTGTAAATACACTGATTGAACATTGTGTGATAAAGATGACAGGTCTCCAATTACTACAGGAAGCTTTACTGTTAGCAAAGCCATATCACCTCTACAAGGATTCTTCTTATCCATACTATATTTAAATAGTGCATATTTATTTATTATAATTGTATCCTGCTTTCATTCAGGAGCAAAAGATGCTATTCACAGCAGTCACTTTTTCCATTTTCCCTCACAGCAAGGTAGGTTGGGCTGAGAGACAATGATTGCCTTGACTCACCCAGTGAGCTTCAGTGGCTAAGGAGGGACAGGAACCTGGCTTCCTGGGTGCCAGTCCAACTCCTTAACCTCTACATCAGGCTTCTTGTTAGAACTTAGACAGCTACAGAGATCACAGAACATGCCCTGGTTGATTTATGAGGTCTTCAATCCACCAGTACTTTTCCATTGAGGCCTGCAATAGCTTCACAAAGAGCTATTATATGACTGCTATGCAAATTTCCCAAAATACCCAAGGGCAGTGCTACATCCTGATACATATTTAAATTCAATAATAAATAAAATATAAGAGCAAACCTGTGATTTCATTGAAATGCATTTGCCCAGATTTCTCCATATGTGCAGCTGTCTCTGTCCATAATCATTAGCAATTGTTGGGTTCGCATTGTCTCTTGCTATAACTGGCTACCTATAAGGATCATTTTGTCTTTGTATCTATCAGAAGTTACTCTGTAGAGATGCAGAGAGATGTAGGTAATAGTAATAAAGTTGGAAGGGACCTTGGAGGTCATCTAGTCCAACCCCCTGCTCAGGCAGGAAACCCTACACCATTTTGGACAAATGGCTGTCCAGTCTCTTCTTAAAAACTTCCAGTGTTGGAGCATTTACAGCTTCTGGAGGCAGGCTGTTCCACTGATTAATTGTTCTCACTGTCAGGAAGTTTATCCTTAGTTCTAGGTTGCTTCTCTCCTTGATTAGTTTCCACCCGTTGCTTCTTGTCCTGCCTTCAGGTGCTTTGGAAAATAGCTTAATTCCCTCTTCTTTATGGCAGCCCCTGAGATATTGGAATACTGCTATCATGTCCCCCATTGTCCTTCTCTTCGTTAAACTAGACATACCCAATTCTAGCAACCGTTCCTTATATGTTTTAGCCTCCAGTCCCCTAATCATCTTTGTTGCTCTTCTCTGTACTCTTTCTAGAGTCTCTCAACATCTTTTTTACATCGTGGTGACCAAAACTGGATGCAGTATTCCAAGTGTGTCTACTAGGACTCCGAGGTCCCTCTCACAGTTACTACTATTGAGCATGGTGCCACCTATGCTGTACTTGTGCATTTGGTTTTTCTTGCCTAAATGTAGAACCTTGCTTTTTTTCACCATTGAATTTCATTTTGTTAGTTAGTGCCCAGTGTTCAAGTCTGTCCAGATCCTTCTGTATCTGAAGCCTGTCTTCTGGAGTGTTGGCTATTCCTGCCAGCTTGGTGTCATCTGCAAATTTGATGAGTTCCCCATCTATCCCTTCGTCCAAATCGTTGATGAAGATGTTGAAGAGCACTGGGCCCAGAACAGAGCCCTGGGGCACCCCACTACACACTTCCCTCCATATAGATGCAGTTCTATTGAGGACCACTCGCTGAGTACGGCCGGTCAGCCAGCTACGGATCCATCTGGTGGTGGTTCTGTCTACCCCACATTTTTCTATCTTGTCAAGTAGTAGGTTGTGATCTACTTTATCAAATGCCTTACTGCAGTCCAAGTAAATTATGTCCACAGCATTCCTCTGATCCACTAATTTTGTCACTTGGTCAAAGAATGCAATAAGATTTGTCTGGCATGATCTATTTTTGACAAACCCATGTTGGCTTTTAGTAATGACTTTGTTTGCCTCTAGGTGTTCGTTGATTCGTTGTTTGATGATCTTTTCCAGGATCTTCCCAGGTATTGAGGTCAGGCTGATAGGTCTGTAATTTCCTGGATCCATTTTTTTTCCTTTTTTGAGGATGGGAACTACATCAGCTCTTTTCCAGTCCTCTGGTAGTTCCCCTGTGTTCCAGGATCTTTGAAAAATATAGTTCAGTGGCTCCGATATCACATCTGCCAGTTCCTTGAGAACTCTGGAGTGTAATTCATCTGGTCCTGGCAATTTGAATCATCTAGGCTGGGCAGGTGCTCACTTACCATTTTCTTGCCTACCTTAACTTGTGTTTCTATTTTGTTTTTTATGGCACTATTTTTGATAGGTTGGTCTGTTTTTTCCCTTTGTGTAAAGACAGATGCAAAAAATGAGTTAAATAGTTCTGCTTTCTCCCTGTTGCTTGTCACCTTCTTGCCACTTCCACCCACTAATGGACCAATCATTTCCTTCACTTTTTTCTTGTTTTTTACATGTTGAAAGAAGCTTTTTTTGTTATTTTTGACTTTGGTCGCAAGCCTTAGTTCATTTTGAGCTTAGCTTTCCTCGCTTCATTTTTGCAGGCTCGGCTATTTGCTGATATTCTGACTTAGTTATTTCCCCTCTTTCCACTTTCTATACTTGTCCTTTTTATCTTTCAATTTGTCAGAGAGTTCTTTATGCAGCCATGCTGGTTTCTTTTGAGAGCTGTTGTTTTTCCTCTTTGTTGGTATTGTGCTAGACTGTGCTTTTATTATCTTATTTTTCAAAATGTCCCAAGCTTCTTGAGTTGTTTTTCCCTTGAGGATTCTCATCCACGGAATCCTTCCCAAGCCCTCTCTAAGTTTATTGAAATTAGCTCTCTTGAAGTCCAAGACTCTAGTTTGACTGTGTTCTATTGGTTGTGCTTCTATAATGTTGAATTCTAATATTGCCTGATCACTTCCTCCCAGGGTTCCTATGGCTTCAACACCGTCTATCATTTCATCTCTGTTAGTGAGAATTAGATCCAAAATGGCTAATCCCCTAGTTCCCTTCTCTACTTTTTGGGAGACAAAGTTGTCTGCTAGGTTTGTCAGGAATCTGTTTGATCTTCCACTTGGTGCAGAGTTTGTCTCCCAGTTGATGTCAGTTTGTTGAATAATGGTGAGCAAACATTCAGCCAGCACTAGTGAGTTACTGCTATCTGGCCTCTATTTTTTGCCTGTCCTTCTTTAGTGGTATGATATTTATTTGGAAGTATATGTTAGGATAGATATTATTTTACTTTCCCTGATAGGAAGGCATAATGGAACTCTGGATATAGTGAATTATTTCATTTGGTAGAAATCTAATTCTTCAGAGTAAGGTGGTACTATCAGAAATATTAGTGGTTGCTATTCAGAGCTGGCTCTTCAACAACAGAACATTCTGTGTTACCTTCTCAATCCATGGTGGAAAGTTACTTGCCTTACAGGTGCCATGAGCAACAACTCCTACCTCCTTCACAACAAATAATTAACCTGTTTCCCTGTGTGGAACCTGGCGCTTTTCTCTATAGAGAGGAGAATAATTATATTCAGGAGCAGCCAAAACATGAATATTTGCATCTTTTGCATATGAGACATAGAATTCCACCCTTTTGCACCTGGGTGAGTTGTTTTGTCCTTTCATCACCAACTGATGTTTGGGTGGTTTTTATCAAGTACTTATCTGGAGTCCTAAAATAGGGATATCTTAAGGTTGCTGGGAAAGAACTGTTAACAAAAGATTCTGTCTATGAGAAAGACTATTTGTAAGAAGTATTCCCTTGTACCAAGACTGCCTTTAAAGATGACTCAGATGTTTCAGCTGGTAAATAATACAGCTATTTACATTTTTGCTATTGGGCTTAGACATAACAATCACATCGCATCAGCTATCTACCCATTACACTGGTTTGCCAGTGCTTTTCTGGTTTAAATTCAAAATGTTGATTTTTGATCTTTAAAAGTCTAAACAATATGACTTCAGATTATTAACTACCGTATAATGATATACAGTATAACCTTTTTTAAAAATAAGTTTCAGTGGTCCTATTGGAATACAGAGTCAGAACTTTCAAGATGGTATCTTCTATATGATAGAACTGCTCTCATGATACCTGTGGCTGCCCATTAAAATTTACCATTAAGAGGGCATTAAAAAAAATCACTGTGGGTTTTCTGGGAAAGAGATTTATAATATTTGCCCAAATTTGATATTTAAAATTATACTTTATAATTACTGACTTCATTTAGAACTAGTTTAAGTGCACATCCATTATAATTTGTTATTCTGAATGCGTTTAATTGAAGAAACAAAATAGTAAATCAAAAATTATAAAACAATTAAAGAATTAAAAAACAAAATCTAAACTAGGAATAATAACAAATCAAAAAGTAAAAAGAACAGAAACTAATGCATATATGATATTACAAAGAAATATAAATATTGTAATTATTCATATTCAACACATATCCAAAACTACATTTGAATATTTCAAAGGAAATCAATTAAAAATAGAGGGAGAGCTCTTAGTATAGTAATAAATTTACCAAGTCCTCAATCTAATATAAAAAATATTTGGCATACAATTTTGTTATGATATCAGTGATGCTAATCTGTCTCTAATTTGAAGGATCATCCTTATCACCTTATTATCCTTTGATTTTTGTAAACGAGGTCTACAAAAGAGAGTTTCAAACCAGCTAGGATTTGGAAATAATTATTTATATAGGTAAATAAAGTAAAGGAGCCCACCAATCAAAGTGACTGTTGTGTATCAACCCAAGTTTATAAGGTCTGTTATAAAACGGTTGAATAAGATGTTCAATTCAAATCCTTAAATGTCTGTTGTATATATTGCAAGCCTGTGTTTTAGGCAGGAATGTTTGCTTTAAACTCATTGGCTGCCGCCTAGCGGCGGTCCGTATAAATAAGAGTCAAGCGGTTGCTAGAGCTGCTTCTGTGTGGATTGAATAAACTGTTACTTTCACTCCTGTGTCTTCAATCCCTCACCGTTTCCAGTCTACAACAGTGGTGATGAGAGTGGGATTATGCTGCTAAGGAAGAAAGAGCTGGACGACTAAGAGCTAAGAGTCACTAAGGGGTGAGACCAGGCATCCGTGCCCTGGTAGGAACAGCTTCCCCCACCACCACCACCACCTTCTGCCTGCCAGCCAGCAACGCTGGAGGCATCACCATCCTAAGGGATCAGTCCCTAAGATTCGTACAGAAGCCCTTAGCATCATAAGGCATTGGAGATGAAGTAACAGCCAGCCATGGCCAAAGTTGGCAAGCTATCCAAATTCGATGTATCGCACTCAGAACAATGGAGTTCTTATGTCTCCAGGTTCGAAAACTACCTGAGAGCGAATCAGGTCAGGGAAGACGGATAAAGGCTGCAACCTTGCTGTGCGTATGCAGCCAAGCAACTTTTGATATAGCAGAGAATCTAGTCACTCCTGCTATCTTGGAGTCACTTACCTTCACTGACTTGAAAAGAAGACTCAAAGAACACTTTGAACCAAGACTGTCCATCATTACATGGAGACACGCATTTGAGCAGAGAGAACAGAAGCTCAGGGAGTCAGCTGCTGAATTTGTGGCTGCCCTTTGGCAGGCGTCCAGACTCTGCAAATTTCCAGATTTAGAGGATCGGCTCCGGGACCAACTGGCATGTGGCCTGAGAAGCAGAGACTTACAGCAGAGGCTGTTTGCAAAGGAGACCTTGACATTCCAGGACGCACTGAAAGAAGTGATGGCAGAAGAGGCCGCAGGTGGAGCTGTCAAGGCTTTATGACCTTCAAAGAATTTCTCCAGCCAGATAGCCATTCATCATGAAGATTCAGAAAGAGCAGATGACCCAGACGAGGACATTGAGATCGACCGGGTGCAGAAGCTTCCAGGAAGAAGGCAGTGGCCACTTGACAAGGCAGCCTTCTTCCCTAGCTGTCCTGGCTGCGGAGAATGGCACCAGCGTTCAGAATGCAGGTTTTGTATGGCTGTCTGCCGAGCATGTGGCAAACAGGGCCACATCGCTATTGTCTGTAAAGGTCGCCAGAGGGAATCTCCATCCGAAGACTTCCCCAGGAGAGGTAAAGGGGCCCTGGGGCAAAACAGAGTAGGATATTGCTCCGGAAGAAGGAGCATCCTTAGAACAGGAGCCCGTCGCCCCCTGAAGGAAAGGTTTAGACTAAAAGTCAAGCTACAAGGAATTCCATGCTCCATAGAACTGGACACTGGGTCAGCTGTGTCTATAATTTCCTACAAAACTTTTAATTATGTCTGCAGACATGGTGGGAAATGAGTTTAATGAAACCAAACAATTTCAAAGCAGTCAAATCACTGCTGTGTTCAGATTCTGTGTTAACACACTTTAACGAAAAACTGCCTATCAGTATTGCATGTGATGCTTCATCATATGGTATAGGAGCAATTTTGAGCCATGTAATGGCTGATGGGAGGCAAGCTCCCATAGTATATTTTTCAAGGACACTATTCCCAGTGGAAATAAATTATACACAAATTGATAAGGAGGCATTAGCCATAGTTGCAGGAATAAAGAAATTCCATGATTTCCTTTATGGTCACCCATTTATGGTCTACAGACCACAAGCCTCTTCTAGATCTGCTTACTGCAGGCAAGCAAATCCCTCAGATCCTTTCTCCAAGGATGCTGAGATGATCAATCTTTATGGCAGCCTACAATTACAGGCTAGTCCATAAGCATGGCAAAAAAATGGGCCACACTGACACACTCAGCAGGTTGCCCCTGCCTAATTCAGAACCAGACCCTGCACCTGCAGCATGCATCCTGTCAATTCAGGACTTGCCAAAATCTCCCTTTGCATGCAGGGGATGTCATGTTTTGAACTGGGTGCTGAGGGAGTGGCCAGGAACCAGTCCTGGGGAAGAATTTCACAGCTTCATCAGAAGACAAGATGAGCTATCTGCATACAAGGGATGCATTTTATGGGGAAATAGGGTTATAGTCCCACACACATTAAGAGCAAGAGTCTTAGAATCTCTGTATGAGGGACATCCTGGAATAGTCAGGATGAAGGCACTCGTGAGAAGCTACCTGTGTTGGCCAGGGTTGGATAAGGATATAGAGGCTCAAGTGAAAGGATCCCAGATTTGCCAGCAGACCAGACCTGAAATGCCTCAAGCCCCAATACATTGCTGGGAGATTATGCAACCCCCCTGGTCTAGGATTCACATAAACTATGCTAGACCTTTTCAAGGACAAGTGTTTCTCATTGTAGTGGACAATTACTCCAAGTGGCTTGAGGTAGCACCTGTCCCTACTATAACTACTGCCAGGACTATCCAGGAACTTTGCAAGATCTCTGCCATGCATGGCTTACCTGATGTAATTGTATCAGATAATGGGGCACAATTTACTGCTGCTGAATTTCAGTCCTTCTTACAAACTAACATGATTAGACATGCTACCTCTGCCCCTTTTCACACAGCCTCTAATGGTCAAGCAGAACAGATGGTCAAGATGACCAAGGAAGTGCTTAAAAGGATAATGTTGGGTGATTGACATCATCGGTTGGCAGACCTTTTGCTTTGCCAACACACAACTCCATGCACTTCAATGGGCCGTTGCGCCACCACATTGACCAACTACACTGGCAGCAGGCTAGTCAGACCCTGGCCGCCGACAGAGAGCAGAGCTGGGAACTGCCTAACAGCTGCGATGCGTCTGAGTCTCCTGGGTCTGGGGAGACTCACAGAGAAATGGTGAACAACTCAATCTTGGTTGTGTCACCACAGACTGGAGAGACCATGCCCTCAGAACAGAACTTGCTTGCGGACTTGTTCCCCAGTCTTTCCAGGACCTCTCCACTCACAGACACAAGCACTGGTCTACCCGGCCACATCAGCCAAAGAGACACTGGTCTACCCAGTCTGATCAGTCAAAGAGAGACTGGTCTACCCAGCCTGATCAGTCAAAAAGACACTGGTCTACCTGAAGCTAGCAAATTGAGGTGCCCTGGTCTACCCAGCCAGCTAAAGGGATGGGTAGACTGGGAACCTCCTGCAGAGATGCAGCGATCAGAGCAGTCACAGAAGCCACCTGCCTACCTACAAGATTATGTATAATTTCTTGATGTGTGATTTATCTAGGGGGAAGGGGTGTTCTGTATTAACCCAATTTCAAAAGTTCTGTTATAAAACAGTTGAATAAGATGTTCAATTCAAATCTTTAACTGTTGTATATATTGCAAGCCTGTGTTTTAGGCAGGAATGTTTGCTTTAAACTCATTGGCTGCCGCCAAGCGGCAGTCTATATAAATAAGAGTCAAGCAGCTGCTAGAGCTGCTTCTGTGTGGAGTGAATAAATGAGCCGTTACTTTCACTTCTGTGTTTTCAATGCCTCACCGCTCCCAGTCTACAATAGTGACATTTAAATAATTTGGGGTAAGAAAAGCCTTGTTTGGCTTTAAGTCCTCTGGTCTCCTGTTTGATCACTGGAGACTATGGTAAAGTGGAGCAACAGCCTCCTATTGATCATTTTGTGGGTCCTCTAGTCCAGGGCTTTTCAACCTGTGGTACGCGTACCACCAGTGGTACACGAGCCCCTGGCTGGTGGTACGGGGCAAGTGTCTCAATCGCCTTCCTCCCCCCCCGCTCCGCTCCTGCCCTTGCTTGTGGAAGACATGCTGCCTGGTGGCAGCCTGCAGGAACCCTACCAAATGTGCCCTGCAGGTGGGCACACAAAGAGCGCAGGCGCAGAGCAAGGCCTTCCTCCCCAGGGACTCTGTGCAGCAACTGGATTGACTTCTTCTCATGCATGTGGGCCAGCAGGATCAATGTTGCCATTCCCCTCCCTCTTCTTACTTCACAACAAGCTCAAGCCCGATAGGGGACAGAGCTGTCCACTCCCTCAGCAGGAAGGGGTTTGAGACCACTCGTGTCACGGCCCTAAGTGTCAACATCACAACCGCCCCTCCTTCTTTTCCCCCTTCTCTCTCTCTATGTGTTGCAGCCTTACTCTCTTCCATCTTCTTTTCCTTTCCCCCCTTCCCCCCCCCGCAAGCTTGTGATACCCCTCACAGCCCTCATGTTGCCTCCTGGAGGACTCATCCCATGGCAGCAGGTGGGAATCGAGGCCCATGTTTGTTTTGCTAATGTGCGCCAGACGAAGTCAACAGAACACAGATGTGGAGGAAGAAATGTGCCTGCCTGACTCCCTCCCCCCCACACTGTTTTGCAGCATTTAACCCTTACCCATTTCCATGATAGCCGGCCTGCCCGCCCACCAGTCAGTTTCCCCTTCCGGGCTGGGAGAAGTGCACAGCATTGCCTGCATCACGGGCTTAAAGTCTGAAACAGCCAGGCTCTTGGCTGACTGATCACCTTTCTCCCCCCCCCCCCATCTTTTTGGTTTTTTTTTTTAACTCGCCGCTTTAGAGGCAATGTAAAGGCAAAATCCAGAAGGCATGCATGGGATGAGTGTCTTAGTTGCCTTCCTCCTCCCACTCCATTTTTTTTTTCCGCCCTTTCTCAACGGCCTTGAATGTGTGCTGAGGAGGAGCAGGGATGTCCGGCCCTTTTTCTCTCTGCCGCCGCCACCACCAGCGCCATGTTGAAACAACCATTGCCACCACCCTCCCCTCAACCTGCTGCACAGGAGCCCAGGCAACACCAGTGCTTGCAGCTTTTCTGCAGCGCAGACCCAAGGGCTGATTCATTCCCACTCGGCCTCTTGTAGGACCCGGGCTGCCTTCACTGGTGGGAAATGCGGCACTTCTTTTTCCGCAGCGGTGGAGTGCGGATGTCGCTTGGTGGCAACTCTGCGAGATGCGCCTTTGCAGCGGGTTTCCCCTTCCATTAGTTATCGGAGGTTTGAAAGGCAAGCTTCTCCCGGAGTATAAAAGTAGAGGGTCCAAACGGCGAGAGTGACGCAGCTCTCCGACTCTCTGCTTCAGGCTGAAACAGTCTCAAAGGTGGGGACCAGAGATTACTTCACCTGAAGGAAGGGTGACTTGGTGGCAATGCAGATTTATCTCCCTTCCTTTGGAGGAGAGAGAAAAGTGTCGCTCTCTTCCTTCGGGCAGGTGCAAATGTAACTTAAGAACAGTAGCAATGCAGTCAGAAATGGGCATCTCTCAACAGCGCTGGGAAGAGCTATGGGAAGAATGATGTACATGGAGAGGATCGGGGAACCTGGCTCGAATGCTGGGCCCCGGTAGGGGAAAAATGACTGGGAGAAGTAGCCGGTTCGTAATGTACGTGCCTGAAAATGGGAGGTGAACATCCTTGCCCTGCCTCTGCGCGCGCAGAGGCTGAGGTGCACGTGCTCTTCTCTGCCTCTGCGCGCACACAGGCAGGGCCATGATGTCAGTGGTTTATTTTGTCCAGCTGCTCCATGTGGTGAGAATGCGTTGCTGCCTGCCAAAACCAGGCTGGGATCTGGGCAGCGTAGCACACAATGGAAGGAAGGAAGGAAGGAAGGAAGGAAGGAAGGAAGGAAGGAAGGAAGGAAGGAAGGAAGGAAGGAAGGAAGGAAGGAAGGAAGGAAGGAAGGGACAATGAGAGGGAGGGAGTCAAGGAGGAAGGGACGAAGAGTGAGGCAAAGGAAAGGAAGGAAAGAAGGAAGGGACAATGGGAGAGAGGGAGAGAAGTAAGGCACCCACCCCAATCCCATCCCCCTCCACCAGAGACCCACGGATTCCCCCCACAGGCACCCAGCAACCTGAGCTGGCCACGCCCCCCTGGCCATTGATCACAAGACTCCAGGACACTGTGAACATCATACGTATGAATCAGTTGCCAAGCATTCGAATGTAAATCACATGACCCTGGGGATGCTGCAACAATCATAAGTGTGAAAATGGTCATAATTCACTTTTTTCAGTGCCCTTGTATCTTCGAACAGTCACTAAGCAAATTGTTGTAAGTCAAGGACTACCTGTACTTTATCATTTCTTCCTCTCTTTTTTTGGTCAAGTTTTTGACACCTTGCTGGGCGACTGGTGGTACTCAGATATTGCCTTATCTTAAAAGTGGTACAATGGGTGAAAAGGTTGAAAAGCCCTGCTCTAGTACTCTACAGCTTGAGGCAGTAATAATATTCCTCCCATATGGAGGGCAGATATAAAGGTATCCAGGGAGAGTAGATATTCTTATAATAGTGCCAAGAAAAGGCTGGATTTGAGTTTTTGGCTGCTAACTCTAAACTTAACAAGACAGAGGACAAGTGGTGAGACTTCTCGCACTTGACAGTGTTCTTGTATTCTTGTCTGCTAGCATGGCAACATGATTATTATGTTATGCTAAATACATACGTAGCTAGTCTTAATCTTTTTCTCAGATTCTGAATCAAACCAATGAGGACCTTTTATTTGGGACCTTCTAGGAAGGACTTTTTTAGTTAAGAATTTTCTTAGTTCTGTATTTAGGTTTTCATAGGCTGTAAATATAGAACTGACATCTGTGCGAGGTGAGGTAACTATGTTTACCAGTCAGGGCTTAATCAAATCATTAATTCAGTCAAAGCTCTCATGTCCTCTCTGGTCCATTTTACCCTTCTATACTGGTGGATCTCTAGGTGAAGTCAAACTCATCTATCAAGTGTGATTTGGGGTTTGAGATCTAAATGCCCCAGAAATTCATAGCAACTGGTTAATGGTCGCTATCCTCTCTTACATAACTCTGGAAGTCAGAAAAGAAACACATTATTCTTAGAAAAACATATGTAGTCTAAAGTATGAGGTGATTTATTTTGATGGTAAGTAAACAAAACTTTGGACTTTGCCCCTTAAGATTTGCAAATTGCCTTTGCATACCAGATTTAACAACACAGTTCATTGGCAGTGTTTTTTTTTCCTGGCCCCTAAAGGAATATAAAGGTAATTGAGAATAACATTCTTCGGGAATGTTTAGATTACTAATATGATCTCATATAGAAGGTCCAACCTTGCATTAAAATCTCCCAAAACAATTTAACTATATTGGGAGTTTTTGAATTTTGCTCTAACAAAGTTTACTCAAATTCACTCACATGTCAGGGGAATAATATATAGATGTTTGTGGGAGTAAATACACATTTAATATCATAATCACAGGAGATCTATAATAGAATTTAAAAGTTGAGCAAAAAGATGAAGAGGTACCTATAGTTGTATCTATGCCCTTCCTTCCAAGTTCTTCCTTAACCAATATGGCCAGACCCTCTGCTGCCCGGCTTTTCTGTTTTAGTTTCTGTGCCAGAATGACCCAGGATTTAAAGCTAGGTCTCAAAATCCAGCTGTTAGCCAGGTTTCTTGTACTATGATCAAGCCCAAATTGGATAGAAATTTAGGTAAATTGCACAGTTTGTTCTTCTATTCTGCTAGATTCCATGTTTATAGGAATTGTATCATTAGTCATACCTATAGGGGAAGAAGAAGCTAATTTGGGTTGGGTTGTTATGTGTCCCATTCGGTCAGCTTCCTACAGATATGAGATCGAGGGAACCTGATGTATTCAGGTATACATAATGATTGACAACTTGGATTTCCCTTGAAGACTCAGCAAAGCAGATTGCTTGGTCCATTAAATTCTTCACCATATTGATTTCCTTTTTTGTAACGTTTTGTGTGATATCCATGAAGGTCTTCACCTATCACTCCAATGCACTGGTGTAAAGGCCACTCATCTTAGAGTCAGTGCTACAAGAGATCTGAAGATCACTAATATTTGGTTGAGGTGTTTGGTTGCTTGAGGAGTTGCTAAACTGTTATGGCTGTGGATTCATTCAGAATTTGGAAACTTTTCTTCTGGAAAGTCTGCAGTCCAAATGACATCAAGGTAAGTGTAGATACAAGGTCAGCCCCTTTTCATTTGTTAAAATTGCCATTTGTCTTCCTTCTGGTTGCTTTTCTGTTGAGAATCCTTAGTTAAATCAAAGTTTATCAAAGATGTTTGTAGATTGCACACTTGCTCTTGCAACCCTTTGTGTGTAGGGGGGGACACAATTTTGCTACTATAGATATTG